CCCACATACAACTTATAAGATCAACCACCAGACAAAAATTGAAATTGAAGTGTGGATTTTCTAATCGATATGTGTATCTGATAAACATCACAGGGAATCAATTTGTCTCACCATGTCAACCGAGAAATTCAAGCACAGGACAGATACACAAGGAAGGGGAGGTAACTCTGTTACAACAGCCAAAATAAATAGTGATGGTTGAATATACATAGACATTGAAATTTTTGACTACTTTGGCCAGAAGGATGTTGACTGAAATTTGAAACATTGTTGATATAGACAATACACAGGATATGTAGATTGTTAATTGTTTCTCGATAAATTGTTTAATGGTGTTAGTGGACTAATGTTGATTATGACTTGTCTTGAGAATTTATGCTGTGCATGTGGAACCTTATCAAATTGTTTAAGGAATTTATGATAATGAATTTAGAAAATAAAGCATTTATAAGACAGATATAGCTATACAATAATACGTCATTACCTGAGATGTGTGAAGGCTAGAATTGATCACGAGTGACAGCTAGCTGTTTCAGATTATATTAGTTTCATGACATTTCTGCATTTCTCTAAACATTTTGAGAAATCTTTATGTGATTCTGACAGAATGAAAATAATTTTGATAATTAATCTGTATACTTAATTCCATGGATAATGATCATGAGTGTTAATGATGAAAGTCTACCAATAAAATCTCCATATATAGATGTTTGAAATAGGAACATATTGCGAAAACGAGGCTAATTGGATAAAATAATCAAGAATGGCCTGCGTAATTTTCAATTAAGGCAGGTATAACATTTATTCTAAATAAGCAAAGCATCCAAAGCTAGCTTATTGGCTTCTTTGGTGCCGAATGAGCACATACTGTGTCAGCTTTATCTGTTAGGAACGGAAACTTATTGCTAGATTATTTAAGTAGAATTTGAAACATGTAAAAATGTGGCTTTGAGGATATGGATAAATGTTTTTACTTAATGGGACTGATCATGGGTGATATTAGTTAGAGTTATAATTAAAACTAACTTATATATAGTTTTATCTCGAGCATTTCAAATAAATATTTTCTACAACCAATAAAAACAACCATGTGAATTAAAACACTGCAACATACAATTAGGGGATAAAAAATACCTAATTAAAGTATACAAGTAAATACATCAAACACAAAGCAGTACAACACTTTGGGTTCTAGAAACACTACAGCACTCTCACATTAATTAAATAAAGCAAGGTCACAGAGGACAAGGTCAAAGGTCAACATTACAAAAACTCATGCAACATGCTCATCTTATCTAGGCACATAGTATGTGAAGTTTCGTGACCCTAGCTGCAGCGCGTAGTCCATAACTGATCTCAATGAGAGAGAAAAACTTGACCAGCAGCTGGACATTCTTTGTGCAAAGGTGCAGTTTGCAGTGGAGCAAAATTTTCAGGATACAATTTAGGCTAGATATCAGTGACTAATCATCCAGAAGAGACCCCATCAAACTGGGTTTGATGACAGTGTGTATGTAATATATTGTGAAAAAGAGTCGCACAAGTATGTTGTACTAGACTGAAAAGGCAAACAGTATATATACAGTATAACATCCCTTCACTAAAGATACATAAAAACACAGCAGAATACAACTGGGGTATATAAAAATACAGTAATATACAACCTACCATATCATAACTACAGCAGCATACAAATACAGCAACCTAGTTATCAGGCTTAGTTAACAATTCAAATTATCAAAACCCTTCAGCATGCAGTTTAGGGTATAACAAAACTCTTGAGAAATCTGTGTGCATGCATACATTAATTTAATTATGCTCACACATTTATATACTTCAGTCAAAGCATTTTACCTCCCCTCAATAGTCTTCTGTTAAACATGAATTAAGAGAAAAAACAACAGACTAACAACTTGTATGCTTGACCCTGAAGATTTTGTCTTGTTTTGATGTTACTGTCAACAGCATGGGCCTTTCAAAGAGATACACAACCATACAACACATGTTCTAAGGCTGTGCGATCTATAATTCAGACGTTCCTTTTTATTACCGGGAATAGAAAGTTGTTTACCTGAAAAATCAATCACTCTGGTCAGCCTCAGAGCCCGATGTTTGTGTCCTGACTTTGAAGAATACCAACGTCCAACAAAAACATTCCAAAGACAGACTACCACAGTGAAACAAGCAGCTACAACGACATCTACAGCCAACCCTGTCAAGTCAACAGCACAAATGATTATTGGGGGTGGCAACTATACTTATAATAAAGAACTGTTCATATTTTAACAAAGGCCTAATTATAAAAATTCTGGTGACTAAATCAACAAATGCCAGCTCAAGTTTGGAGTTCAGTGTATTTAGAAACAAGGGAGATTTAATTTCACTTAAAAACTATACTACACAATGAGTTTACTTGTCCTCTTACAGACATCTAAGAACGGTTAGCAACCAACAAATATGTGTATCATGCCTCCTGCATTTACACAAAGAATGTACAGAGCTTTGTGCAATCTTAATGAATGTTGCTCTTGTAATACACACCATATTTTTCATCATGAAATCTGTAAATCTGATTAATTTCTGCATACTTATTACAGAAATACTTTTATAAATGTACTATTTTAATCGTATCAGTGCATACAGCCTTGGTTACCATTATCACATTAATCAAAATTTCTACAATCTGCATTAGAGATAAAAGCAGTCGACAGTGGACAATGCAATAACTCTAAAGCACCTGTGTTTTATTTTGTCAGCATGGTAGCTGTCAGCTAAATTCCAAAATCAAACTGTGTCAGGTTATAATTGTAAGCTGGATTATGATGGCAGTTGACTTCTACCTTAAGCTTCACTCTAGAAGAAATTTCCATTATGCTCCATAGATAGAATGGCAGACTGGGAATCTGGAGTCATGATCACTGGCCACTGCCTTTCCTGTTTTAAATGGTGTCCCTGACCCTCCCATCCCTGTCCGTCCCACCCCCAGCCCTCTCGTCCCTGGCCCTCCATGACATGGAGTTACAGGTTGACATGGTTGGGGGACCAACTTATTTTAAAAGGCAGTAGTGTGACAGGAATAATAAAATAGCTTAAAAGGAATATGATTGTATTCTTAATTCAATCTACTGGGAATTTCCTTTAAGCTCAACTGTTGGAGTGAAGTACTACGAAGCTGGGGTATGCTGGTTCAATACCCAGTGGAAATAGCTCCTCCCTTCCTATCACAAACCAATCTATACTAGTAGAGTTGTCAGTCTGCATAACTCATTTTTTGGATGATAACTCACAGAAATTGACTTCATATAACTTGCTAAAAGCAAGTAACTTACGTATTCAGGAAGACACATTCCTGCAAACTGGTAGTTTCAAGAGGGGATGGAGGTTGGGTTTCGTTAAAATCATGTGGCAAATAAAAAAAATATCTCAGAAGATTAAGTATTAACTTATATCACAGAATATAATTCGAGTTTTAAACAGACTCAAGATGCACATCAATTAAGTATAACTGGTAATCTATTATCTGTTAGAAAATTATAAAATAAAATAAACTATTATTAACTCAATATCGGTAAAAATAATATCTCAGTATCTTTCTACTTTCTGGGTTTATTATGAATATTTTTTTAAGAAGTATGTGCTTCTGTTTGTGACTAAAATGCAAAATAAATATGGAAACTGACATGTTTATATCCATGAAATCTTAATATAACATAAAAGTGTCAAACAAGCAGTGCTTAGGCAACATTTTTTAACGTTTAAAAGCTAGAAATAAATTAACTATAGCTGTCTATATTTTTACATATTTTTAAATCTAAGAAATACATAGAAATTTAACAAAGATCAAGTTTTAAAATCTTGTTGGTCATTATCACAATAGCCTACTATGTACAACATAATTAGTGCTGATTGGGACATACTTGACTTTGTAACACCTATACAGCCAAAACAATAGACATCTGATGTACATATAGGCTCAGTGAACCAATCTATTGTTAATCCCTACTCAGTTCGGGATATAGCACAAAAAACTTTTCTGACACCATACAGTATACAAATATGAAAGGTATGTAAAGGTACCGTTATTTACCTGTATAAATCACATCTGAAATGTCAATATCATTCAGGAAGTGACCAGTACAAATTTGATGACAAGGTGGTCCTAATCTCCCAAACGTGGTGACAAGCCAACATTAATCACACAGTCGACCATGAAATTCTATACACACAACCATACATAAATAGTGATATAATTCAATGCATTTAAATGTTTCAATGCCTCTCTCTACAACACTGCATATTTATTTGATTGCTCAAAATCTACAAACATCATAGATGATAAGGTGTAGGAAGAAAGAAACATCTTTACTTACCAGATGTTTGTTTCAGCCAGCTGACACGGTAAGGTGACACACAGAAAGACAGACTAAAGTTGTTAAGTATGGTCCGTCACAGATCACCATAACACACCACCTATCATTAGTACATCGTGGCCAACGTTTGTTGCCTTGTTGCTATGAAGAGCCAGGGGGTGTAACCGTACATATGATTGACAAGATGGCGGGAAGTTTCAAAGTACAATGAAAACGGCTTTTTATCAGGTGACATAACATAATCGATTATTGTTGTATATAGTAATATCATTTAATTTATTCCACCATATGCATTGTTTTTAGAGGGCCTTAATTTTGGTTTTAATCTGCTAACATAGAAAAGAGCTTGTTCAAAAGTTCATTGATCTTGTCAGGTCATGTACCAATTTAGCTTCTTCTTTTGAACTTATTGGTTCCCGTCAATGTGAAACAGTTTTTACAAGTTTTAATTAGACCTAAAGCATCTGTGTCTTTCGCGTAATTACCTGAACTCCTTTTTCTTGCTTTCGTTTTCAATCCGTTGCCATTTTTTGTTTAAATACATATCGGAGTCCAGTAGACGCTTAATGTCAGAAGTTTTGAAGCCCCCCGTTCTAAACATCTTTGTGATTAATACCGTAATTTCATCTTGAAAGGTTAAAGGTCACATATCAATGGCGGCAACTGTTCGATCGGGAAGCATAGATGATCAAGTTTCCCTTATTAGAGTATCAGTGAGTATATATAAGAGCTATGTTCTGCTGCAACATTTAAAGATGACATTGCTTTTTGATAGACTTCTTCATCTGCCCTCGGAATAATCGGGAGAGTAACGGAAACACAAGTCACTGTTGTACAATTCTGATCGGGGTTACTGGGTCATGATCACAAAAGTCACACGAGTTATAATTCCCAGAATTTGTATGATTGATTTTAGAATACCTTTATTCGTGATTAACATGACAAAGACACACAAATATAGTAGAGTGAACACCAGTTAAATCTAGATATCTAGACTAATATTTCGACCATTTTCAGACCGATTTATTAATAGATCACATAGTCTATTGTCTAGATTCCAGCCACACTGCCCACAGGAAATAGAATTTTGTTCCAACAGTCAGTATGTAGCCTATACATAACCAAAGCAAATGAAGAGAAAGAAGAAATTAATTAAGTTTAGTCAAATATTTTATGTAATCAACGCTTTTTATTTTCTGTCTGACAGATTAATAGAAACACAAAGCTGTAAAAGATGTGGATTAATTAGGTTGCATTGGGCTGAAGAGCCAAGGGTCACGGGTTCGAGCCCCAGCAACAGCACTTTCTTTATCACTTTTCCTCGTCCTACTACAAAGCCAACAAAATTCATGCTATATATACTATTTAGAGAGATGTACCAGATCATGTCCATTTAAACTACCATTCAGCAGTGTTTTTGTCAANGGGGGGGGGGGGGGGGGTCGTTGGTGACCAAGTAGCTCAATTGGTGGAGTATCCATCTAGAGTTTGAAAGGTCCCAGGTTGTATGGCTGTTCTGTCTTCGTCCCATTACATTTGGTGCCAGTTACCAACCCATGTTTCAAGCACTGGGTGAATGCTTGGCAAGGGGATATCCTTACATGGAGGATGTAAATAGTGTTGTCTTCAGGAGCAAAGACACGGAAAAAGGAGGGAGGTATGTAGCAGAAATTTTGCTGGGTTGAGCGTCCACGACCAGATAGCTAAAGTGGTAGGGTGTCAATTTAGAGTTCTGAGGGTCCAAGGTTTGAATCCTGGTCTGGCCACATTCCCCTTTCTCCTGTTACACATATGTGTGCACATGTATCAGGAAAGGAAAATGCAATTGTCCGACTGGGATTCAAACTTGGGCCCTCCGAAGTCCATACAGATCAACGCTCTATTTAGTCGAGCTACCTGGTCACCAGCGATCAACAAGTCAACTTCTGCTACATTCCTCTCTCCCTTAACAAAGTGTTCTACCACAAAAACAAGGCCCAATACCACATTTTGTGTACTTAGTTGGACCCTAAATGTATCTGGAAAGGAACGTCCAGACTGAGATTCAAACCGAGAATCCCCAAACTCTAGACATACTCTAAAACCAATTGATCTTACCTGGTCACCGTCAATCAAGCAAGTCCTGTTCTGTTACATTTATAATTGCTGGTCATGAACAGATGAATACACATGCCACTATGATTGACACTGGGGTCCAGCCCTGATAAGAAAACTGCAATCATGCTATCAGGATTGGCTCTGGGGTCTGATTCTGTTCTAGAAACAGTAAATATAAACCTCCCCCATATAATTGCCACATGCTTTCATAACTGGCACCTTGGAATTAAGTTCATATAAAGAAAATGGATATAATCACAACATACTCTTGAAAGCGACACCAATAAGTGGGTTTTAAAGTTTATTTGGCCGACTAGTTTCGCCTCTAAAGTTGAGGCTTCATCAGGACAATTTTACAATGGTTTAGAGTACCTTTTTAGGGGTTCACATTTATATTGTGATGTAATGGACAATGAGCTCAAGCTAAAGGAAGATAAACAATGGTTAACAATAGAACATTATGACGTCACAGATATTATAACATGATCAAGATTAGTGGTGTTGTTATGGACATAGGAGGAAAGGTACATTTATATGTTACAAGGAAATGACTGTTCACATTTATGAAAATAAAAAATACATAGTGAATAATAAGAAATGGTGGTCCAATGTGGCAAAAGCTGTTATATGCAGTGGGGCCAAAAGTGGGGAGTGTTTCCATCATGTGTATGGCCATATGATAATATCATCAATGTAAACTTGTCTCTTGGTTCTCTGTAAAGTAATCTATCATAAACAGATGTGATATCTTTTGTTGATATGAAGATGTTCTCTAATTGTAGGATTATATGCTTCCGTTTCTGGAGTGATATTCTGATGATGGTGATTGTTCTTAAATCAGTGATCGCTAGTTCAATATTCTAAATATGTTTGAATAGGTTCCATTATTCAAATTGCTGTTACTTTGCAATGATTTCAACAATTTAAATCTTTTAAACTTTATGAAGCTGGGATGAATGGTAGTCTTTGAATTGTTCACGTATAGATATGTATCTTGATCTTTTCTCTGTCTCTTCTTCATTTGGTTAGGATCAGGGGGGTATCTTATGTATTTTGGAAAATATCCATTTTCATTTTCTTTATATGTGCCTATATTCTGTAGTCGTCTTGCATACCTTTTGGTATCTGTATTCAAAGCGAAGCGCCCCACTGATTAACCCAAAAACCTACACCTGACGTTGGCTCTATTATATATACTTTAATTGGAATTAAGTTGTCATATCTTAATTTGATACCTGTACAATGATGGGCTCTTTGGTCCATCCCTGCTCCAAGAGACTTAGTCCCTAGACCACTGGAATGGGTTAACGTTTAGATTCTCATCCTGTAACCATTTATTAGGGCACAAAGAGATAAATGTAATAATGCTAACTGAATTAGCCAAGGGGTCTTGCCCTTACCTTGATGGCTTTGTACCGGAGCAATTACTGTGGGGGACGTTGAAACAGCTGAGATCTCAATCCTTTAACCATTTGCTTGCTGGGCATGCAGATTTGGATGCTTGGGGTTGTGGCGCGCCCTGCTTTGGAGAATTAGTCCCCAGGTCATAACATGAAACAGTTAAAACCCCTCCCTATAACCATACACAGATATACATTGTACATATTTCCTAAGAGGCATCATTGGTCCCTTTCACCTGGGAATCAATTGTTGTGGTCCATGTATAAAGGCAGAATGTAGCTCTCCTAGCTAGTGAATAGGCACAAAACAGGGTAATTAAGGTGTTTTACTTTTAAGTATCTGAAAGTCTATTTTCCCTGATTAGTTAATCATAGTTCAACCAGATTGAGATCAGGGAATCAAATGTTTTGTAAAGGAAGGGTGCTGCTTTGAGACAAAACTGAAATTGGGAAATATTTGCAGTAGTATATTTAATGAGAATAGCTTAAAAATCCAGGTTAGAAATACAGGCTCTCTGGGCTACTTATTTTCCTTTAACTCATTCAACCCTGAAATTTCATAATGAACTATTCCAACCTTTGAAATGGAAGAGTTTAAATGTGTCTTTGGTGCTGAAATAGTTAAGGCATGATTTGCAGCACCTGCAGAAAAAAAAGCATTTGATATTTTTAGCCCACCATCATCTGATCTGGGCTATTCAAATCACCCTGCGTCCGTCGTCCGTCCTTAAACAATTCTTGTTATGAGTATTTCTCAAGAAGTACGGGAGGGATCTTTCTCAAATTTTACATGTAGGTTCCCCTTGTTCCCTTGTTGTGTAGCAGTGCCTGAAATGGACGGTCACCTGCTCGAGCGACCAAAAGTTGTCAAAAGTGAGATAGTCACTGGCCCAACAAAAATATTTTGGGCGACTGTCGAAAATTATAGTCCTTTCCACATTAACTGGGGGGCAGTACATTTTTCAGTTGTCATTACTTTGATTTGAATCAAACTGTCCGTGATTTAGAAAATGCGATGATATTTTTTCAGATTTTCTATATAAATACTGGCCGGGTGTCTTCTTTGAGGTGCGAGTTTTGTGTATTTTTTTTGGGGAAGACCTGAATGGAGTGGATCATGTCAGGTTTTAACTAGGGTTGAAGAATTAAAAATATAATATTTTATTCTGTTTTACATATTACAAACATTGTCATGTTATATGTAATTTAAATGTGCTGAAGAATTGTGTTAAATGCTGTGGAAATATTTCTTCCCAAAATTATTTGTGCCACCAATATGTCATTTGGGCCAGTGCTTCAAACTTTTTACTCGCCCCAAAAAAATATTTTCCAACTATCCTTTATTGTTCATGTTTACTTTTGAAACTGATCAGTTAAACAAAATGATCTACCGATAGCCATCTTCGATTTTTGACATTGAAGGTTTGTTGGTCCTATTTCTCAGGAATAACTTGAGGGATCTTTCTCAAATTTGATATGTAGGTTCCCCTTGATCATTCCGTGTGCATGTTATATTTTGAGACTGATCATAAAAACAAAATGGCTAAAGGAAGAACTAAACAGATCCTTCTCATATTGCAATGATCGATTCTATTTCTTTCACATTAAGTACTGTACTAGTAAATATGTGAAATGACAAACTCACTTTGAAGGTTGGCTTTCATACACATCAGTATTAAGTTTAGATCAACAGTTACCTCAAGGTGCATTTACTGTTAACATGACTTGATCAAACAGATTAGAGGAAAGAAGAGAAAAGATCGAACTGACAAAGAACTAATGAAGATGGTACAATGGTGGGCGCCAAGATCCCTCTGGGATCTCTTGTTTTTCTGAAAAACTTTGTCAAACATAAAAACCACAAGGATACAGAAAGTTTATTTATTGAAAGAAAACTAGATTTAGTTACTCAGCTTAAATTATTAAAAGTATATTTGATATTGATGCTTTAGACATGGATCCAAATGGTAACCTGTTTTTGAGGGTTCAGCAAAAGATCAAGGAAGGGAAAAAAGGAGAAGATTATGATGGAACACACAGATTCACACCTTCTGGTGTCAATCAACAATCTAGGAATGAACCTCACACATCAAAACCTGCTGATGAGATACAAGGAACTTCGAGTGGAAACAATAGTGTGATTATCATTCCAGATACACCAAGGTGAGAATTATAATTTGTATTGAAATAAGAACATAATGCTGTAGATATCGATAGATTGTCTGAATTAATGGATAACCTATTTGTTTGTCTTGTTTAGATGTACATAAATGTAGTATCGTTTTGAAAAGATATATGTAGTTTAAATGAAATATAGAATGATAAGTATATTTCTAGATGTTAGTATATATTATTAGGGCCCCGTATCGGAGATACAGGTGCCCTATAGTAATCACGCTGTCTGTCCGTCCACAAATATTGTTCCTGGCTGATAACTTTGGTATTTAATGACCGATGTACATGAAACTTGGTCAAGATGTTCAGTTCACAAAAATACACATTGAGGTAAAAAGTCGATGTCATTAGGTTCAAAGGTCCAGGTACAATTTTGCATCTTTTCACTGATGAACATTTTATTATGACATGATGAATCAAAGTTGATCAGAATTAAACAAGGAGTCAACTAACTAAAGGTTAAGGTCATCAGGTCAGGGGTTAATAGGTCAAGGTCATATTTTGTAGCTTTTCACTCATGAGCATTTTATTATATTATGAAGCAAAATTGTTCGGAATTAAACAAAGAGACACACTGAGGTCAAAGGTCTAAAGTCATTTGGTTCAAAGGTCAAGGTCAAGTTTTGCATCTTTTCACTGATGAACATTTTGTTATGACATGATGAAGCAATGCTGATCAGAATTAAACAAGGAGTCAAGGTCATTAGGTCAAAGGTCAAGAATAAATTTTGTATCTTTTCACTGGTGAACATTTCATTATGACACTTTGAAGCAATGTTGCTCAGAATTAATCAAGAAGTCAATTGACCTAAGGCCAAGGTCACTGGGTCAAAGGTGAAGGTAACATTTTGTATCTTTTCCCTGTTGAACATTTTGTTATGACATTATGCAGCAATGTAGGTCAGAATTTAACAAGGAGTCAATTGACCAAAGGCAAGGTCACTGGGTCAAAAGTCAAGGTCAATTTTAGTATCTTTTCACTGGTGAACATTTCATTATGACACTTTGAAGCAATGTTTGTTGGAATTAAACAGTCATTTGACCAAAGTGCAAGGTCACTGAGTCAAAGGTCAAGGTCAAATTTTGTAACTTTTCACTGATGAACATTTTATTATGACATTATGAAGCAAAATTGGTCAGAATTTAACAAGGAGTCAGCTGATTTATGGTCAAGGTCATTGGGTCAATTTCAAATATTGAATTTTTTTACTGTTGAACATTTTTATAGCTCACCTGCCCGAAGGGCTAATGAGCTTATGTCATGGTGCAGCATGCGTCGTCCGTCCTCGTCCGTCAACTTTTCCTTAAAACAATTTCTTGTGAAGAACAGCCTAGAGTCACAATATTTGGCTGAAAGCTTTGTTGGTAGAAGCCCGACAATGTTTGAGAACGAAAATGACCTTGACCTACTTTCAAGGTCACAGGGGTCAAATGTCAAAAACTTAAAACGACTCCTGAAGAACCTAAAGGTATAGAATCTTCATATTTGATCAATGGCTTTTTGGGATGGAGCTAAACACGCTAAAAAAGACTTCTCCTGAAGAACTAAAAGGTATAGAAACTTCCTATTTGGCTGGTGGCTTCCTGGGATAGAGCCCAACAAAGTTTGAGAATGAAAATTAGTTTGACCTACTTTCTAGGTCACAGGGGTCAAATATGTCAAATGCTTCAAACCACTTCTTCTGAAGAACTGAAAGGTATAGTTAAGGTCACAGGGGTCAAATGTGTCAAACATTTCAAACGACTTCTTCTTGAGAACTGAAAGGTATAGAATCTTTATATTTTTGGCTCGTGGCTTCCTGGGAAAGAGCCCGACAAAGTTTGAGAACGAAAATGACCTTGACCTACTTTCAAGGTCACAGGAGTCAGATATGTCTAATGCTTAAAATGACTTCTTCTGGAGAACTGAAAGGCATAGAACCTAAATATTTGGCTGGTAGCTTTCTGGGATAGAGCCCAACAAAGTTTGAGAATGAAAATGACTTTGACTTTCTTTCAAGGTCACAGCGGTCAAATATGTCAAACTCTTTCAAGGACTTCTTCTGAAGAACTAAAAGGTTTAGAATCTTTATATTTGGCTGATGGTTTCCTGAGATAGAGCCCAGCAAAGTTTGAGAATGAAAATGACCTTGACCTTCTCACAGGGGTCAAATATGTCAAAAACATCAAATGACTTCTGATGAATAATGGAAAGGCATAACATTATAATATTTGGCTGGTGACTTCCTGGGATAGAGCCCAACAAATTTTGAGAATGAAAATGAGCTCAACCTACTTTAGAGGTCACAGAGGTCAACAACATTTTAAAGGATTTGTTCTTAAGAACTAAAAGGAATGGATTCTTAAGATTTGGCTGGTAGCTTTTTGGAAAAGAGCTAACCAATTTGAGAAGGAAAATGACATTTACCTACTTACAAGGTCACGGGAAAATATGTCAAGCAACTTCTGAAGACGAATCAAAAAGCATAGAATCTTATAATAATATTTGGCTGGTAGTTTCAACAGATGGAGATGACAAAGTTTGCGAGGGAAATATTTGTAGTGCAATATAATATTTAATGCTATGACTGCTTAAATATTCAGGTGAGCGATACAGGCCCTCTGGGTCTCATGTTTTTATGTTATTATGAAGCAAAGTTGTTCAGAACTTAACACAGGGTCAACTGACCTTAGGTCCAGGTTACGGGTTCCAAAGGTTTAAGGTCAAGGTCAAGTTTTTGTATTTTTCACTGATGAACATGTTGTTATGATATTATGAAGCAAAGTTGGTCGGAATTAAAGAATAAGTCAACTGACCAAAGATCAGGGTCACTGGGTTAAAGGTCAAGGTCATTTGGGTCCAAAGGTCATAGACAAAGTGGACCTCTGACCCTGGCTCTTGATGGAGGAGGTATTTAAGGTGAAATAAAACAAATCAAAGCTAACAAATGAGTTTTGCACGGGTATTTACATTTCTGTTGGCCCAGCAAATATGGAGGTGGAAGGAAACAAGGCTCACATCATAGTACATGTTAAATGTATATTTTGCTTCCTTGTGATTATTTTTGAAGTCCAAATGTCAAACATCAAGCTCAGCTATATGGGCAGATTGCTTTTGATGATAATGGGGGATATATTGCCACAAGCCGGGGCCCTTACTGACCTGTCAGTGTTCTAGTTATATGTAGTTTTGGTTGGTTTCTTGTTACCTTAGTCATTAGTAAAAGGATTGTTAGTATGTTTATACATATATGTGATGTACTGTAAATTGTTGTTTTTCGCGAGATTAATTTTTCACATCATGAATTTAATTCCCGAGGTGCCTGATTCAAGAATTATAAATCTTTCAAAACATTAAGTCAAGACATAAAGTACACGATAAAATAAAGTACATTAGGATGAATTAGCTTTCATTGTACAGCTATCACACTATTTAAACCTATGATATGCTCCAATGTAGTTTATTTGGGTCCTGCATTCTGAAAATAAGGGCTACATCACAAGACTGTTTAGAATTGAGGACGATTCTTGGTCAGATTAACTCATTCACCCATGGAGACACATTTGAACTCTTCCAATTCAAAGGTTAGAATAGTTCATTATGAAACTTCAGGGGGGAATGAGTTAAATCTACTCTCATCATTCAGTTTTTTTTGTTTTTTTTAATATATTTAATGGGTTTTTTTTAATATTTTGTTTTCAGTCCAGTTTTTTCAAGATTTGTTGGAAAAAGAGGAAAACAAGTTGGAGGTAAACTGTTGAACCACACCAGTGATGGATATGATGGGACAGGTGATGGCAATCGGGGACCTACTAACTCAAAAACTAAGCTGTCGGCTAAAAGTCAAGGGTCAGAGGGCACCTCCTATAAGAGGTCGAGACCCCCTAGGGAACCAATGTTAACACCAGAAAAACATTCATTACCATGGAAACAAAATATATCTGAAGGGAAACATAATAATGAAAGTGTACCCAGTTCTAAAGGTGTGTCTAGTTTTCATAGTAAATTTTTAGATGCTAAATCGAAGATTGCACTTAGTCCAGGAAAGGTGAAAATCAGCCCCTATGTTCCGTCCCATGGTATCCATTTTAAAACAGCTTTTCAGGAAATGATGGAGAGAAACCAGGAGAGATCGAGAAATGAATCAAATCATGCTGTTCATAACCAGGAACAGGGTGCCACAAAATTATCACATTCCTCTTCGGGACATTCAAGGAAACAACATGACCCTTCCGGACTTACTGAGCCATGCAACCATGTCAACAAAAGGAGTGCCAAATTAAGCCATCGTAATTCTGATAAACCAAGTCACAAACTGACCATAGAGCAAAGTAAGGGCCAAGACAGTGAAAGACAACACCACAGGAAGACTGCCTGTAATGTTGGACAAAGAAAGTCAGAGGCATCTTCATCCCCCAAAATTAAACGTGCTCGACTAGATGGTGGGTTTCATAACAAAGAATTCTACAATGCGTACACCTGGCCCTCGGAGTCCTCCGACAGTGATGATAGTGAATTTGATTCTGTCGGTTCACAGACACTGCAGGCAATGTTAGATCATAGTTGTAATCCACAGACTAACAGCCCAATATCTGCTGCCCCGGCCCTCAATGTTACGCCTCCCAAAGTGGACTGGCCGACTCGTGTTCACAGAGTCAAAGACGGGGCAAAGGAATGTGTCAACCATGCAATAGCAAAGCATGTTCGCCCTAAATCACCTGTTTCATCTTTACATGACATTACTTCTTCAAGGTCAAGCAATCATAATCCTCAAGGTCCTCAGGTTGACAATGAAAGTTCAGGAGCACATAGACAAGAAGAAAAGCTGGATGGAAATAAAACAAAAAATGTTCATACGAAAGTAATGAAAAGTGATCAGAGAGAACAAATGTCAGGCTGGTTTGATGATGGCTTTTCCAGAATGGCAGAATCTGATTGGTCACCATCTGTGAGTGAGGAGTCAAGGTCACATTCAAGAAAAATGGCTTCAGAAAGGTCAAGGTCAATTCAACTTGCAGCATTAGAGTCAAGGTCAAATAAAAGTAAAAATAGTAAGTATTCAATAATTCCTCCGATGTTTGACCAGTAGGTACCTTTGATGGAGTGCTGTAAAATTTATAAACTACTCAACCTTTTTTCAAGGTCACAAGGGTCAGATATGTTAAAAATTTAAAATGAAATGATTTAAAGAACACGAAGTTCTAGACCCATGATACTTTGGACTGGGTATGTAGACCAACAGTGCATTTTTAGCTCACCAGGTCAAAAGGACCAAGGTGAGCTTATGCCATACCGTGGCGTACGTCTGTCAACAATTACTTTAAACGACTTCTTCTTAACCACTGATTGGAATTTAACTAAATTTGACTGGAAGCATCCCTAGGTGGTGGGGATTCAAAATTGTACAAATGGTGGGGCTGACCCCCAAGGGGGCTGAGAGGCGGGGCAAAAAGGGGGCAATTTGGCTATATTGCTTTAAGCGACTTCTTCTCTGGAACTAAGTGATGGATATCAACCATATTTGACTGGAAGCATCCCTTGGGGGTGAAGATTCAAAATTGTACAAATGGTTGGTCTGACCCCCCAGGGGGCTGAGAGATGGGACCAAAAGGGGATAATTTGGCTATAATTATTGCTACAAATGACTTCTTCTGTAGAACTATGCACTGGATATCAATCATATTTAATCAAAAAGCATTCATGGGAGGCAGGGATTCAAAATTGTACAAATGGTGTGGCTGACCCCCCAGGGGGCTTAGGGATGGGGCCAAAAAGGATTGTTTGGCTATATTGCTTTACGCGACTTCTTCTCTGGAATCAAGAGATAGATATCAACCATATTTGACTGGAAGCATCCCTAGGTGGTGGGGATTCAAAATTGTACAAATGGTGGGGCTGAGGGCGGGGCCAAAAGGGGGCAATTTTGCTATATTGCTATAAACAACTTCTTCTGTAGAACTTTGCTATGGATATCGATCATATTTGGTCGAAAGTATTCATGGGAGGCAGGGGTTCAAAATTGTACAAATGAAGGGGCTGACCCCCCGAGCTAAGGGATGGGCCAAAAAAAGTTTATTACTTGGAAATGGTTGAGATCCCCACCCTATAGTATAACCATATAAATAAATTTAAAAAAATTTATATATATACAATTGCTGAGTATAAAGAGAAGAATGCACATTTGCTTGCAGGATAGCCCTAGGGGTGGCCCCACCCTTGGAGACATAGTTCCTGGGCCATAACTTTAAAACGGTTCAGATCCCCACCCCAAAACTATATATACGAATGCTGGGCATAAATAGACGAATGCAGTCATGATATTAGAATAGACCCTGGGGTCTGACCGAACCCCTAGGGACCTAGTTTCTTGGTCACAGCTTGGAAACAGTTGAGATCCCCGCCCTATAACCATATATACAATTGCTGTGTATAAAGAGATGAATGCACATATGCTTCCAGTATGGCCTTGGGAAATGCCCCACCCTTGAAGACTTAACCCCTGGGTCATAACTTCGAAATGGTTAAGATCCCCATCCCAAAACTATATATACAATTGTTGGGCATAAAGAGACAAATGCATTCATGATATTAGAATTGACCCCAGGGTAGACTTAACCCCTGGGTCATAACTTTGAAACTATATATACAAATGCTGGGCAAAAAGAGACGAATGCAGTCATGATATTAGAATTGATCCTGGGGTCTGGCCACAACCCTAGGGACCTAGTTTCTGAGTCACAGCTTGGAATGAGTCACAGCTTGGAAACAGTTGAGATCCCCACCCCATAACCATACATTAAATTGCTGGGCATGAAAAATCTAATACAGATATGCTACAAGGATTGGCCTTGGGGGCTGGCATATTCCCTTCGATCTCATTTGGAGAATGTTTTGCCATGATTGCTTAGATATCCAGTCGAGTGATACAGGCCGTCTGGGCCTCTTGTTTTTGATATATTGTGTTGAGATCAAAGGTCAACATTAAATGCTAGCTGGGGTCAAAGTTCTACATTGGCTATAAAGGGTAAAAGGCTTTTACATGGTATGTAGGTAACCTGTAGTGGAGTGCAATTAAATTTACTACTTTCATGGTCACAATGGTTATCAGGTTGTAATTTAGAAACAGCTGAGTCTGACATCTCTAACCTATAACTTATAAATGTGTTTCTGCTTAGTCGTACATAAGTTTGCTGGGAATGAAAAGATGCACACAATCATGCTGTAAGGCTTTGCTTCAGGTCTGGCCCCGCACATGGGGAATTTCTCATTAGTTACATCTTTGTAATCAGAAAATACATCCAGTCAGTAAATATATCCAGTTAGGCCAAAAAAAAATGTGTCTGTTTAGGGTTCCCGACCTAACCTAGCTTTTTACCCCCGACCCAAAACTTTTTGATGAAAAAAAATAAAAATTTAAAAACTGCTGATTTACGAATTTTAGAAGGTTCATTGCCTTTCAAAATGGCTTCCAGCTCCATGTTTGCGCTAAATGTCAGCATATGAAGCACAATTTGCCTCCAAATGAACCTTGTTTATGTAATTTTGTACACAAAAATATATAGAGAAAAAAATCAAAAAAAATCGACCTACCTACCTACCCTTGGGGTTTTTTGCCCATGCAACCCTAAACAGACATATTTATTTTGGCCTTAGTCAGTACTATTTTGATGTAAAATATCAACATAGACAGCATCTTCGCTAGCCAAGGGTTGATCCGGTACGATCTACCTGCTCAGTGAGTAGGTAGATCGTACCGGATCAACCCTTGGCTAGCGAAGATGCATAGACAGTAGATATAACCACCTAGTCAGTAAATATATCCAAGAGGTCAGTAGATGTATCCACATATATACTCAGTAGAGAATCACTGGAAAGTTGTCAATGAACTGATAACTAGTAAACTGTCATCTTTTTACAGCATATCAATGTCCTGGAACAGATCAAGGCTACACACCTGCCATACAAAATCCTGATCTACATGGGAGCCCTAACCAACCAATCATATGTGAGAATGTGAAAGAGAGTAAAGCCCCACAAAATCAAATAGAGCAGGTCGAAGGGGATGAAGAGTTAGCCAAAAAGTTGCAGGTATATATAGTACACAGGTTGATGAGGTATACTGAACAGACAAAGGATATACTTACAGGTTCATTGTACAAGTGTCAAGTGCATATACCATAAAAACAGAAGATACGCGACATGCTAAAAAGACCTAACCACAGACATAAGTAACACATTTCTAAGTCTCATCATCCTTATTACTTTCTACAGGAACAGATGGACATGGAGTTTGCCATGTCTCTCCAGAATCTGGAGAACCAGCCCCCAGTGTTTGGAGCAGGAGTGTTCCCTCATCACGACATGTCCTTACCGAGCCCTGTGGTAGCCTATAACAGAGGTCCTGTGGCCGTCGGACAGGGGAGGTGGGCCACAGCACAAAGGGGACGGACCACCTCGCGCTATCCCGGTATGTATCTTTTTAAGGTGCCAAAACCAATAATTAAGTAGAGTTTTATTACACATACAATTATAAGACTCTCTCATGTCCAAAAGTGTAGGATGGAAAATTCCAACTTAAAAGTTTTCAAATTTAGTAAAATGATGTGCTTGGTATAAGTTCAATATATATTAAAACTAGGCAATCACTAGGTCATATAATTGACCTATGATTATTATTGAGGTCAGGTTACAAGTTTTGGATTGGTCATGATTTAGTTGTAATTCATCCAAGATCAGAGTCAGGTAATATTGTATGGCTAGGTCATGACTGCTGTTTAAGTTTTCAAATATTAGATCAAGGTATCAGAATGTAAGGTATCAAAGGTCAAGGCTGGAATCTATTAGTTATTGAACTTGTACCATCATACAGTGAGCTTCTAATTAAAAAAAATATTACCTTATAGCATGTTTTCGAATGAAATTGAAATATAGGTAAAATCCTGTAAAAGATATTGTTTTTGTTTTGTTGCAGATTTAGATGAGGTGGAGGCATTGCTACGGGACCTTGACGAACCCGAGGAGCGATTACTTCAGGTTTGTTTCAATTCTTCGTATTTGCTTTAAAAAAGAACCTCTTCATTGTCACAAAGCTGCAAAGGTCAAAGAAGATCTCCTTAAAGTTGTAACAGGGCAGTGTAAGTCAAAGTAAATCTCCTTAAAGTTGTAACAGGGCAGTGTTAGTCAAAGTAAATCTCCTTAAAGTTGTAACAGGGCAGTGTAAGTCAAAGTAAATCTCCTTAAAATTGTAACAGGGCGGTGTAAGTCAAAGTAAATCTCGATGTAGGTTTAAAAAAGAACTTCTTCATTTTTTTTGAGAGCAGTATAGGTTATAGCAGAACTCCCTGATCTTTATAAAAAAGAACTTGTTTATATCACAGGACAGTGTAGGTCAGTATATATCGCCCTGTAGGACCTGTTAATCTGTATTGTGTACAGGCTACATGTCGGTTGCTGTTATGTTCCATAATGGTAAAACATGGCATTTTGTGTTGTAACACCTTTCCTATCAGACTTCATCAAAATAGATGATGATGTACCTGTTTTGTTGCAGAATTACCCCCAAAGTCGAGCGATCACAAGGAACGCGGTCCGGCCACAATCAGGTCAACATTTTCTGGATGACATTGGTGATTTTAAAAAAAATCTTGAGGATGTTTAACTATTGTCAAGATTAACAAAAGAACTTTTGATTGAGAGAACAGATAATATCTGTTTACTTTTGGAGCCTAAAATAATTATGTGAAATGTTAACCCTAAATAGTTTTTACCTATTTGAGTGTTACTTATGACCATTGATTAATAACAATGTTGTATTAATTAAACCTGACAAAGTATTCTTTTACTCCACATAATCATTAGCTTTATACCGTAGCTTTTGTTTCCCATGACAACAATCATTTACAGAATGGCTAATCTAACTAAGTCATGTATGACCTTTCTTTTTTTTCTTAAAATCTAATTAGTCTTTTGACACTTTCAAATTCCTGATAAAGTTTTCAAGGTGTTTCTATAAAGCTAACTGATCACTTTACAAGTCCATTTATTAATGTTAACAAGTTTATAATTATTGTTACAGCTCGTATCAACAACAGCCTGCTGTCCATGTTAGAGGGAGGCAGCCCGGTAAGTACAATATTCCTCCTGTGATTGGTGCATCAGTAGGTTATATAAGCCCCTGAACTACAAAATTAATGTGATAAGTCCTGGAAAGTTACCATACATTAGAAGGGACAGCTGGGACAAATGCTTCACTTCTAAGTCTATAGAAATACTTCTCAGTCAACTGGCAGTTGATCAATTTCATGATGGTAGCCCAAACTTATGAAGATTTTTTGCTGCTCTCTCTCTCTATTGTTTCATATGAATGCACAGATGTTCATGAAGTACAAAGTTTGATATGCTTTGCCTTGCAGCCTTTGGCACGACAACCACGATCTAGGCGTAGAGGACAGAGACGTATTGCCGCTCCTCGTGGATTTGATGTGGGCAGTCCAGCGGAGGGAAATGACTATGAGGTTTGCTATTACTGATGATTAGATGCATTCTGAAACATGACTTTAAGGTCGTATTAGTTGGGTTCATTACATAGCAAAATTTACAAATATTTAATGAGGTGTATGCAATATGTATATTTAATGAGACGTGTGAAATTCTTTCAGTCATGGGTAAAATGTGATCCGCCATTATTCCACATTAGGTGGCACATGCAACACACATTTCTGCAAAACTCTTGTCTCGATACAGATATACAGAATCTAGTCAACAGTCTGATGCACTGGAATTCAAATGATTTCTGTATTCATAGGAGAGGATTATCATTTCCTGTATCAAATCACAAGTTTGATGTATCTTTAATTCACTTTTTGGTGAAGTGAATGCTTTTACTTTTCTTCAAGTATTTCATTATCATTTAGGATCTGTTAAGTCTGGCAGAAATGCTGGGTGATGTGAAGACCAAGGGTCTGACAGAGGCGCAGAGCTCCAGGTTGCCTGTACGTCTATACCAGGCTAACAGTGAGAAGCAGGAATCGGAGGACTGTCTTATATGCATGTGCGAGTATGACCAGGATGACAGGCTGAAAATGCTTCCATGCTTCCATGAGTTCCATGAGCAGTGTATTGACAAGTGGATCAAGGTAGATCATAGTTAAAAGAAAATTTATTTATTCATAATTCTTGTTTACAGAGCAATATTTTCCATTCAATTAATTTTGAAAATAGGGTACAGTATGCAACTTTGATCCATGCAGTGTTATGATCACATTGACGTGGAAGCTAGGGTTTAAATTCGAGTTTCAAGATATCTTTGACTTTTTTACAAGAAAAATGACTGTTCACTTTTAATGTTAATGGATTCTCCTTCTTGGGTAAAAATATTAAGTACAAAATTTTGTGAAGATTTCAAACAACTGACCCTAGGGAAAGGAGTTAGTGTAGACCCCAGGGAAAGGAGTTAGTGTAGACCCTGAGGAAAGGAATTAGTGTAGACCCTAGGGAAAGGAGTTAGTGTAGACCCTAGGGAAAGTAGTTAGTGTAGACCCTAGGGAAAGTAGTTAGTGTAGACCTTATGGAAGGGAGTAATTGTAGACCCTAGGGAAAGGAGTTGATGTTGACCATAGGGAAAGGAGTTAGTGTAGACCCTAGGGAAAGGAGTTAGTGTAGACCCTAGGCAAAGGAGTTAGTGTAAATCCTAGGGAAAGGAGTTAGTGTAGATGGAACTATACATAATCATATGTATCTAAGCAACTGTACACAATCACAAGTAAGGTTAGTAAGGTACATCATAACCTAGGTGTCACTCAATATATGGCAGCCATTATCACCAACATCATTGAAAATATTTGTCTGTTGTACTATAAAATGAGGTCGTTTGCTTAACCACGATGGTACAAAAGGCAGACATACTTTGGAAAATTACCCACTTTTCGATTTTGTATCGTAGATGCATAGCTTTTTCAAACACTTCAATGTTATCAATTCATATGGCAAACTATTGTTTTGTGGTGTATATTCATGGCAATGTACATCTTCACACCATGTATGTCTATACACTCCGTATTTATCAACCTGAAGAAAATGTTTAGAAAAACAGACCGTACATGTATTGTAATTAGCTGAAAATATGTTAACCCTTTCACCACTGTAGACCATAATGGACTCATCCATATAAATGCATGGTCGAGTCTACTAAAGCTACATAGGGGTGTATGGTTAAATACTCATTGACTAGAGTATAAAGTTGGTCTACATTATATGCCAACACTGGCTAAGCTCAGTGAGAGTTATTTCCCCTTATGGTAGTGAATTGAAAGAGACTGAATTAATTAACCGAAACAGCCCAAACTGTAACCAATTACCACTCCCAGTCCTTGTCTAATCTTGTCATAAAAGTACAGCAGCAGGCTTTCTTTCATTTTTATTACATGTTCAATCAATTGTATTGAAAAGTAGGTTTAGCCAATGTTAGCTCTGTGATGTAACATTTATGAACTCATTTTTGGTCATCATTGGACTTAAAATCATATTGTGGTTTTTTTCAGGGAAATGCCAGCTGTCCAGTGTGTCGTGTAGAGGTCAAATTGACATAAAACAGTTTCCATCAGTTCTGACCATTGACAACTTTAAACCAGTTTTAGTTGATCTGTTCTACTGAATGGGAAGGAAAATTGAAGAACGATCATGAAGTGAAGACATGAATCTCTGACTTGGAAGGAGGAATATGTCTAACAGAAATTTTGATCTCTACCAAAATGTTAACTTTTGATGCATGTAATGAAATCATGGTGTTAAATAACTTTTGCTATTGGTGATGTTCATGAAATGATCTGATTTGCTGGGAATGTAATGTGCAATTCTCACATTTAGAGGTTCATCATTGTTTGAAATATATATAAAAGAAATTCTCAAGTAATGAAATAAGTATTTGAGAAACACATGTAATCCAAACATCCCACATCAACATTTTTAAACCTCTTATGTTAAGCATGTCCTACAGATTGAACATAAGCTTCAAATTACCAGGACATCAAACCTAAGAATTAGAGTTCAGGATTTATGGTACAGGTTGGCTTCTCCAAGTCAAAGTTCAAATTAGACAAAAGGTATATACATAGTTAAACTTTGTACAGGATTACCTTTCTGCAGTAATTAATTAAAAGACACTGGTTAGACACACAGGCCCCTTGGACCTCTTATCTGAAAGCAGTCTTGTGATTGATAGGAGATACATTGTTGGAAAATATTTATCATGAGTGCTCCGTTTTACCAAATATTTTTAGTTGGATTGGTAATTTTTAAGCAATAAAGATACCTGTCTTATTTCTATATTTTCTTCTCTACGCTTGATATTTTGTCAATGTGTACCTGTTCAAATAGAAATATAGTGTAAATTGTGGTTGTGGATTTACTGTCACATATCATGCTCTTAAAGTACAAATAAGTATAAAGGGGAACATTTGACGCTAGAACAAATATATACAAACGATATCCGTACTTGGCGCTGTAGAATCTGGACTCATACAGGACAGGTAAAACAATGTTATTGTATAGGTTTTGTAGCATTAAGAATTGTGCATTATTTGAGAAAATTTCGGTCTTGACTTAATCAACACACTGCGAACTCATCTCTTCTAGTAATTTATACATGTATATATATTTTATCCAATTGTCCAAAGTCACAAACACATTGAATAGTTATTGATTCCATATCACTGTAGTGGCATTTAAATGTTAAATTGTTGACTATTTATATCTTTATGTGACACAGAATGATGTTATTATCTCTATAAATCTAACATGCACGAAGATCATACCAGCTGAGGAGTAAGTACGATGTACTACGCCTATTGTAGTGAGACGAACTTAATAGAACTAAATATTCAGAAAATGTCATAACACAAATTTTCCATGACTTAACATAGAAAATCTGATTGTTACAAGTTGGATATGAATGCTTAAATATTTGTTAAACTTTTTTGTATGGATTATTTATGAAATGCAAATTTTGTGGACATTTCTTACTATTTCAGTGATTGATATAGCAACAAAAATATGAAATCTCTTATGATAGTTTCTAGGATACAGGTGTCTAATGTTGTGGTATAGTTTCTAGGTTGAAAGTGTGTGTAATCATGGTATACTGAGATGAATGAACTTTTTGTGGCAAATACTATTTATTTCGATACCTGATGTGGCAAAAAAAATGATAGTCTGGATTGAATGTGTATGATGGTTAGTTATGTGTGTATGGTAGGTCCTGCCTACAAGATATTAGATAGGTATCAGACTTATGTTTGTATCATGTATTTGATTGTTCATGTTTTTGTATTATGTGGATAATAAACCTGGTCATTTCTAAGTAGTGTTATTGTATTGTTATACTTTGTAAAACCTTACTTTCCTGTGACATGTAAGTAAACTTTTTCTATTATTTTATTTATTTGTTGGGTTGATTCTGGTGTCAATAGTAAATGCATTATGTGGTAACTTTTGATGACATTTTTAGGTCACCTGAGACAAAGTCTCAAGTGACCTATTGCAATCGCCTTTTGTCCGTCGTCGTCCGTCGTCCGTCGTCCGTCGTCCATCCGTAAACAATTTACATTTTCGACTTCTTCTCCAAAACCCCTGAACCAATTTCAATGAAATTTTGCAGGGACCTTCCATGGACAAAGGTCAACAAAAATAGTTGCCGGTTTAGTCCTAA